ATCAACTCATTTCAATTCGTAGAACATATTCAAATATTTGAATCGGTTAAATTCAATAATTTACAATATCGTATTAATCAAACTATGTATACTTAAAGTTTAGTATCCTTTTTTATTGAATTTTATCATAAAAAATAATAAAATTTAATTCGTAAAAATCGTAAGATTTAATTGGTTCATGGTTATATTTAATCTTACGATTTACAATTTGATTCTTACGATATTACGAATTAAATTATTATTTTTTTGTTAAAATTGAATTAAAATTATAGTAGACTTTAATTATAAATAGTTAACTTGATTAATACGTTATTGTCAGTGGTTGAACTTAATCGATTCAAATTTTTCAATAATATTCAGAAATTAAAAGGACTTGCACTTAATTGATTCAAATCATACGCTTTAATTAATCATATGATTTGATTCTTACGTAATTTAGAAATTATTTTTTTATGATAAAATTGAATTAATTAAAAAATGTATTACACTTTAATTAATAATATAGTTAATTTATTTAAGACGTTCTTGTCAATAGTTGGGCGCGCTTAATTAATCGATTCAAATATTTGAATAATGTTTACATATTACGCTTTGATACACATATTACGATTTACGATTAGGTTCTTACATGTGTTAGGAATTAAATTCATTATTTTTATGACAAAATTGAATTAAAAAGATATTAGACAATACTTATAAATAGTTAAATCAATTATGTAACACGTTATGTCAATAGTTAAGCAATCGATTCAAATATTTGAATAATGTTTACTAATTGAAAGGATTTGAGCTTAATCGATTCAAATCTTACTATTTGATTAAATTAAATATTAAAAGAAAATTCACAATATAGTGTTTGTAGTATATAATTTTATTTTAAAGTAAGAAAACTACTAATTGGAATGAATTATAATTTTTTCTTCTTCTAAATAAATATATTATTTTATTTTTTATTTGGATTTGTCACACTATCAATTAAATAACATAAGTGAGTTTGGATTAAGTTATCCATTTGTTTATATTTAATATAATTGAGCATTCTTTATATTTTTAAATGGTGGAGTTTATTAATATTTCTAATATTATATAATTACTGATAGATGTTTGGCGTATTGAACTGCAATTCTTTATATTTTTTCAAACTTTATTATATTAAATTTGTTAATAATTTATTTAATATCATTTAATAATAATGAATGTCGTAATTAATGTTTTATTTAACATTATTTATTCAATTATGGTTAAATATTTCATAATAAGTTAATGTGCTTGGATTGTTAGGAGTGATGGATTTTCTAGGGTTTTTTTGCAAAAACCATCCCTATGTAATCTCGAATTGCTGAAAAATACCTCGTGTAAAAACAATTAGTAAATATCCCCCTATGAAAATTAATCAAAGGCAATAAGGTTCCTGAGAGCTGACCGTGTGCTTCACTTGCCATGAAAGCGAGTGGGGGTTCGTTTTTTAACACAAAAATACCAAAATGCCCTCATAAATTTCATAAGCACCAAAATAAAGTTTTTAAAATTTTCGATTGAGTCCTTTATATTTTCAAATAAGCCCTCTTCTTCAACCTCAAGAACAACCCTCCACTTTTTCACCGTGATTTTTTCCAGCAAAAACCATCAACCTAACCCAATCTGAGCATGAAGTTCATTCATATTCCAAATCCAAGAAAACAAAAGGGAAGAAAAATGGCGTCTCAAGCTTTTTCGGCACATCCCTGCCACTACAAAAAAAAATATTTTATGTGACAATCTTTTGTGACAAAATCAAATTTTGTCACAATAAAGGGAGATATTATGACAAAATTTCACATTGTCACATAAGTGAATATTTTAGGTGATGAAGGTTAATTTCGTCACATAAACTTCATTTTATGTGACAATAATGAAAAACCGTCACAATAGAATATACAAAATTTTAAACATTTGACGGGCACTATCTTGCGACAAATATTTAGGTTTCTCATGACAAAGTAATTTCGTCACATTCTTTTTTTGTTGTGACAAAATTATTTCGTCGCTACATACAAATAATCTAAATTACTTATTACTAGAAAATCTTCCCCCAATTTTCTAGACTTAGTCTGATCCCTTTCTTTTTTTTTCTCTCATAAATCCCCTTCTCTTTCCTTCTCATTTTCTTTACCCGAGCGATCTGCTCTTCGATCTGGTTTTCGCGTCCACCATCATCGTTGCACCGCCAGTGTTCGTTTGCCTTCGCCACCGCCAGTGTTCGTTTTCCTTCGCCACCGCCAGTGTTCGTTTGCCTTCACCACCGCCCGTGTTCGTTTTCATTCGCCACCGCCAGTGTTCGTTTGCCTTCGCCACCGCCAATCTCAATCGATTCAGGTATAATTACTATGGCTCGTTTGCCTTCGCCACCGCCAATCTCAATCGATTCAGGTATAATTACTAATTTATTTTTCTCTCCATCTCCCCCTCTTCACTCTAACTCCACCTCTCCCGTTTTCTTCTCTCCATTTCTTCAATGGAATGTTAGGTTATTTGCATAAAAAGGCCAGAATTTAGTTATGTTCTCAAAATTAAGTTAAGCAGGTTTATGATTTTATTTTTGAAACCTAATCAAGTGATTTTAGGTTCGGAATTAAATTAGGTTTTCTAAAATCGCCTATAAAAAATTGATGTAAGGGTGTTTTGATATTTGAAATCAAGTTTGGTATCCATGAATTGCATGTTTTACCCCTCTTTGCAAAGTCATCTGTAGAACGGCTTTAAAAAAAATCAATTATCAAATATTTATTTTTTTCCCTCTGAAAATAACGAAAACATAAAAGCACATTAGATTCACAACATCTACTCTAAGTGTCTATTAAATTTAATTTTCAGAAAAAAAAAATTTAACATCTACGACTTGTCTGATGCATGTTCGTCAAATATTCTTTTTTCAAACAGTTACTATACATTTGATCTTTTTATTACCAATTTTATTTCTAAGCAATGGTTTCATGGACAGGTTCAGGGCGTGGAAGGTTAAAAACCAAAGTATTTCCTTCTTGTACGACGAGGCAAAGAAATTGATGGGTAGTTTTAGTAAGTTCCAAATCATGCACGTTCTACGGGTAAGCCTCGGAATTATTTATTTATTTATTTCCGCTAAATCTTTAATTCTTGCATGAATTTCTCGTTACATCCACTATTCACATCACCAGTCTTTTAACTAACATCTTATATACATACGTTATGTGTTATGTAAGGACTTAAACTCCGAGGCTAGCTGATGCTCAAGCTAACTTAGTTGTCGTTCTTGCTGGTAAGACACACGCACACACACACACACACACACACACACACACACACACACACACACACACACACACATATATATATATATATATATATATATATATATATATATTCTAATCTTATTTAATTAAACGTAAAATGTAGTGATTCATTTAGATCGACATTACGTGTGATTGCAGTGGGACAGATTCAAGAAGATATTGATAAATAGCTTTCAAAGTGGAGGCTGCTAATACAGTGAAACATTATTCATTATCGTTGTTGATTAGAATCCTCGGATCGTAATTCAACAGCTACTAAAATCAACGCGCAGAAACGGGTTTTTTACTTTTTTCCTTTGTTGAATTTCTTGTTTTTCTATTTTGATTTATTATGAAATTTTGAACTTTTTGATTAAGTGAGGGGGCTGTAGTGTAAAGTAACATAGGCTTGATGGCTCTCTTAGTTCTCATATATGTGCAATACGTTCAAGTATGTAGACCAATAAATACTAGGTTTATCGATGATAAATAGGTGTGTGTAATTTCTTGAGTTATGTAATGGAAAAATGCTGCTGAAATTTTAAGTTTCTGATTTCTCTTTCAAAATTGTTTTGCTTAATTATCATACGTTGTAACATTGTAGTAAATTAGTAAACTAATTCTCATTTATTAATTTCCCGCCTTATTTATTATGCGAGTAAACCATGTGTTGCACAAACTAATCATAATTTTATGTTTCTGGTTTCAGGAAGTTCACTAGTGATTAGTGAAGACTTCAAAGAATAAATGACAAAGAAAACAAGGGTACAGGTATTCCCATAATTTTGACATTGGTTTAATGTTTCTTTGTGCATTTTTCTTTCTTTAGTTTCTTCTCTATGCTTCACCTTTTGTTCATTAGGTTGTTACTCTTCCTTCTATTTTTCCTATTTATTTTGTTGTTGTTCTACCTTTTTCCACTTGTCTTTTCAGATTGAAGACCCTAGGAATTGTTAGTGATTGTTGATTTATGGTGGATTGCTGCTGGATAGAGTGGTGTTTTGCTGCTCGATGGACTGGTGTGTCAATTGTTTCTAAAAATGTAAGGGAATAACACTGCCCAAAATTCTTCATGGTATAAAGCTTTTGATTGAAAATTAATGCACTTTCATTTTTTTTGTGTTTGATAAGAGTGAAAAATATGAAAATACTAGTTAATTATATCTACTTGAGTCTCCTTACTAATCTAGTAAACATTAGTTGTGTTGCCATTATTTGGGTTGTCGTTTGTGTTATATCATAAAAAATAGCATGTGGATTTTCCTCGTAAGTTGTCATTTTTCATTCGTTAAAATTGATAATACCCTCAGTTGACTTCCTAGATTGAGTTTGTTAAATTAATTTATGTTGTTTAGATGAAAAGAGCTATATTAATATCATCTATCTGTCTATATTGATTTGTCTATTTTTATACATATATAATTATTTTCGTACATGTGTATTATGATTATTAGATTGAGTGCGTATTTGAAAATGTCAGTTTCAACTCAACTGGTGACAGGTGATTGTTTCATGCCTTACTATCTCACGTAAATGCCATTTCTTTGTCGAGTAGTTGTGGAGCCATTTATCATTTACTTTTAATTGCGTT